CACCACTGATCTACCTGACCTGTTTTTATTACTTATTAACTCGTTCTATCAAGAAGAGGAACTTCTGATCATTTAGAGATGTTTTAAAATGTTTTACACATATCGTGTGTTGTTAACATGCACAATAGAGATAAGATACGTTTTACTTCCACAATTGAATGTATTTTGTAGTCAAACAGGCTGTTGTATGAGCAAAGTGGATGGTGTTTATTTAATAGATTGATTAGATTGTGAAAATTGGGTGTTACATCAAAAATGGAAATTATTTAGCTGATTTGTAAGGAGACCTTTTCAAGAGGTACATGTTTGTACCTAAAGGGTACAAACCCTTAAAGGTACATATTAGTACTTAAAGTGTACATATTAGAACCTAATAGGCACAAAAGTATACCTTTTAAAAAGGTTCTGCCCAAGTGACAGCTTTTGTACCATTATTTCTGAGAGTGTACGACGGGAAACTATATTTCCTATCATTCTCTGTAGCAGCACAAGACTGATAAAGCAGTTAACATACATAATGTCTAGGCATGCAAAGTCCAAAGCGCGAGGAAAATCTGCGCTGATACAGTCGTCAGTTGCTCAGTCACATTTTTATGAATTTTTACAAGGTATGTGACAATGCAATACGTACGACGTATTCTTTTGTCAACAAAAATAAGCATTGAGGTCTTCCTGCGCATTTCCGCCAAAATAAAAGTTTTAAAAGTAAATAAAAGTAAAACTCGAAAAACCGTATTCGGCCTTCGGCCCAGTGTTTAATTTTATTCGGCTTCGGCCAAGAATTTTAATTTCGGTGCATCCCTAGTAATGTCGTAAATCTAGCAAAGTTTTTTTTTTTATGTTTTAATTTTTTAAACATTTAATGTCCCTTTATAACACTACTATACTTTGGGTTTTATCACCTTGGCAATAAATACAAAGTTCTGTCATGAAACTCTAGATGGCGCAGGCCAATAGGTTGTAACTTCTTTCTCAATTTGATATAATCATTTTATTATTCACATGTCGCAGCTGATTGGTTTCTTTTCACGTCAGCAGTCATTGAGCTGCTCAACATTCAAATACTTGGGAAGTGCTTGCTGTCGCAGTTGCAGCGCATTTCAGAAACCCTCCTCCTTCCCCAGCTCCACCTGTATAGATTTGCTATAGGGTAATTTCATATATGTTATATGGGGGTAATTTAGCAGCAGGAGTATTTCCTACATGCTCACAGCAGTATGTCTGTGGATGTATTGGCAGTAGCAAGTCTCAGTACTAGCATATCTATTCTGCCAAGACCAAACACATAAATATTGTCTTACCATGCTAAACTCTCAGAGTTGTCATGAAAGAAATAACAGAAAACTGTAGACTTTAAGGAAGAATGAAGAAGTGTATTGTGTCTCATATACTCACAATGAAAAAAAAAAAGGTCTGCAGAAGTCATTGTTCACTGCACAGGCCTTTATAGCTCATCATGGTTCATGGCTCTTGTGCTTTAACCATAAGCCTGCTAGCAATTCTTGCTTACTAGGTCTTGTTGTACAGTGGTATTGACTTGAAGCTTTTGCTGGGAGTGCAGTTTACCTTTTAAGGACCTGATAATGCACCTCAGAGAGCAAGAAAAAAAAAAAAAAACTATTGTGATGCACAAATGGAGAGTCTGGCAGAGGAACAAACAGGCCCGAGTGCAGAAAGGCACCTAGAAATGTTATTGAGGCCAAAAGTCAAGAAAGATGGAAGATTCTTAAGTTTTGATGCCAGGAATGACTGCGTTCCAACACACATTAGCAGAACTATAAGCCAGACTAGAGGAGGAGCAAATAACAAAGAATGAATCAGCAAGAACCTTTATTCTGTATGATTCCCATAAAGGAACTGCTGACTAATTTCCTAATCTCTGTCTACAGAAAATACATGGCGAATCAGAAACAAGACCTTTCATAATCACTGTGTGTTAACTGTTTGCTAATCTCACATAACTCTGGTTACTAGCTTATTGGCCTTCACCTTTCAGCTGAGTGACTAAGTTCAGTCTAGTGGAATTCCTCCTTTATTTAGAATTAAGGAGAGCAGGAAATCAATAGAGCTAATGGCGTAAGTGCTGTACGAGTCGGTTAATATTTAAACACACATACCTGTGGTTGTCTGTTGTTAAAACCAGAACAAACCTGATGTTATTAGGATAGGTCTGGGCAATATTAGTGGCTGATGCATTATTACATCATTAATACGGATCATATTTTTTATAGTTTATTTATAGTCTGTGGGGCTGATACTTCATGCAAGCTAAGGTAACAAATAAAGGAATCTACAGTTTCTTCAAAAAATATTTGGACTTTTAAATTTACATAAAAAAAAAAAAAATGTAGGCTTGTTGTTAAAATGTAAAATGTAAAATATCGTATTAAGCAGCATTTAGAAAGATTTTGAGGTGAATTAGAGGGGAAACAGACTTCATACTTCCACTAAAAAAATAATTTAAAAAAATGTTTAAGATTTGATTCATCATGTCTTAAAATAATACATTTATTTAAAGGGACAGTTCATCCAAAAATTTAAATTTGATGTTTATCTGCTTACCCCCAGGGCATCCAAGATGTAGGTGACTTTGTTTCTTCAGTAGAACACATATGATGATTTTTAACTTTAACCGTTGCTGTCTATCAGTCGTATAATGCATGGCAATGGTAACAAGCGTCTTTGGGCGCACGCACGGCATCCGGTGCGTGAGGTGTGCACGCGCTCTGCCGTAGTTTACGTTAATGGGTGTGTTGATATCCAGCCGAAGAGCAATCAACCATAACTTCAGGTGAGCAGGCTCAGAAGTTGGGAATACGTACATCTTGGATGCCCTGGGGGTAAGCAGATAAACATCAAATTTTCATTTTTGGGTGAACTATCCCTTTAAGTGTTGCTTTAAGTTGTCATGGAATCAAAATTGCAGTGTTTATCAATGCACATCATTGTTTTTTAATTCATGTGCCCTCATAGTCTTTAATCAAAAACATTAACGCAAGCAACAAAGATTCAAAGATCCAATAATTTCTAGTCCTGTCATACATTTTTTTTCCCCGAGAAGCCGCTGTAGTCATATATACGGCAAAATAGTGCAGAAAAGATTATTACAATTTATGTTTCATGCCTACTTTGAGTGTCTGAATACTTTTTGGGGCAAATGTATTCAATTCCCTTTAAAACATTTGGTCACAAGTAATATATACACTGTATAGAAAATATTTTTAATATTAGCGATTACCATTTTGCTGTGACATAACAATATGTTCAGAATAGTTCAAGGGTTTTTTTTCTTTCATCTTGGTTTCTTGTTTTAAATGAAAATGAGATCTGATGAAATCAAGAAGATTTTGGCTTTTTGTTTCAAAGCGAATTCAAAATCACATTGAAGCAGATGTGCAGATGACTGCAGTCTATAATCTCTCGGATTGACACATGATGTAATTCTTTGTCTTCCTGCGGTTTGTCTGATCCCCCTTAAGTACTCAGAACGTGCCCATTTGCTTACTGACTTGCTGAGTAGCACACTGGAATCCTTCATTACAGGTCTCTATTTATAGACATGGACGGCTCTCCTATCAATTCAGGCTGCTTAGGCTGGATTTAACGTGCTTGTTTTTGTAACATAGATGTTAAGAGACTTTATCACCGTCAGGTTTTGCGTCCTGAAGACGAGCTGTCATAATCTACTTCATAAAGGCATACAGATGCTCTTCTACAGTATTTCGGGAACTGGTACTGGTTCTTCAGAGGATCAGTGAGTTTTAAATTATAAATAGAATAAGCTTTAATAGCTTTAGCCCTTATTGTAAGCCATTGTGTAAGGTGGTTTATTGGGGACAGCAAGACTTCTTACACATCAGGTAAAAGCTTGTTAAACATCGCCACCATGTGGTAGATTTTGAAGGCGCTCCTATAGAACATTTGAGACAATTTGGATATAAATGGAATAATACTTTATATAAGGATGGAAATAGTAATAAACAATAAATATTTGTGTCAGTAATTCAGAATCTAGTCACCATTGGCAAAAGGATAGCTTTGTGTGAGTCCATATGCAAAAATCGGACAAGACAAACGGCTTGAATGAGAGAAAGAACTACAATCCCATGGAGCATTGTGAATGACATAATCAAAAAAGAGCTCTTATTGGTGGAGATTTGTAATGGTAATAGTAATGTCGGTTTTCACTAGGAATGCCATAATTTAAAAAAAGGTGAAATAATGTGGGCTGGTGGGTGGCTTCCAAATTTGTGGAAAAAATGACTCTTATCATATCTTATTTTTAATGAGTCAATTAAAAAGATTCATGAAATGATGAAAAGATGGATACAAATTGTATAATTTAACTTACAATATGCAAAAGAGTGGAAAAATGTTCAAACACTCCATTGAATGTCAAAGAACTTTAATAAGTATTAATAAATACGCTTTTCCTACAAAATCTGTAATTTTCTGTCACTCCTTGGATGTAGTAAAACATCAGGGTCATGTTTGTTTTTTATTCTGTCCCTGGCCATAATTCTAACCTTGAAATCAAGATTAGGCATAAAATAATGTCTTCAGAATCAATCATACATGTGCAATCTGACTGAAAATTTAACAAATAGTTGTAATCTGGCTCAGAGGAAGATATGAATCATGTCTTTGTGGTAGTTTTTCTGGAGATTATGGAACAATACAAGACTTCTTCACCTGGTTGTCGAAAGCAAAATTCCACGAAATGCATATCATAATTTGAGAGAAAGTGTGACATGCTAGAAAAAAAGAAAAAAAAACAGGCACCCCAAAATTAGTAAGAAACGAGTGTTGGATTTCATTCAGAAAATATAATGCAGGGCGGTGTTATTTATCATGTGATTCTGTAATTTTTTAATTAAAAAATCATTTTGGTGCGCCAATTATTTTAAATTCTGGAGCCCTGTAAAATCTTCTGTGAAATGTTACATTGTGTAAATCAGTGTGACTTAAAAAATTATTTTATCTTTTTGTTGGCATTATAGGTGAGCTGTTAAGCCAGCCCCGACCTGAGGGACTTACTGAGATCATCTGCTCCAAGAATGGCTCGGAGCGGGTCAACGTGGCACTAGTTTACCCTCCAACCCCGACTGTGATCAGCCCCAGTCATAAATGACATTGACTTCACCTGCACTGAATGGCCTCCACGAACCGCTGCACCTCTTTTCCCTATATCTTATATCACACATGTGCACACACACAAATATATGTGTGTGTTTGTGTGCGCCCTGCTTTCTTGTTGCCTCTGTCCTTCATCCCACATCTGAGGGGGTTGATGGACCACCGGATACCCGACAAGTGCAAAGAAGGTTCATAATGGAAGCTTGCCATTGGAGGCCGTCATATCAGGACACACTTACAGGTATAATATTTTGAAGCTACATGAAATTTGATGGATCTGTTATGTGAGATCTCCAGCTTCTGTTTTGTTCTCCTCTTTTTCAGGTGTTCAGCTCCGACTGCCAACACACGATGAACTGAAAGTATTAGAAACTGTTGCACTGACATCCTGTTTTTGTCTATGTACACCTAAAGCTTTTTCAGTCACCCTGAGCCTTCCACAATGATTTAAGCCTTTCAGTTCAATGTGAGATCAGACGTTTCTCTTCAAGTTCCCATTTGTTGCATCTCTTGGACTGAAATCTTGTGCTGCTGGGGGCCGAGTGGTTAAGCTGATAGAGAATGGAAGCTAAAGGACACTGTTTCCTCTCAGACATAAGACAGACTTTGATTAGTGAGGTTAGATGTTAGACTGATGCTTTAAATTATGTTGTATTTTAAATGCATGCCTCTAAAATGCAAAAATGATTATTAAATGACATACATGGATAAATGCACTAGCCCAGACCTCTTGAGAGGTTTAGTCTTATCAAACATAAAAGGACAGAATTGTTGGGCATAAATCTTTGACATCTATTTATTGGTTTTCTGCTCACAGACAGACACATTGTGTTAGTATTGGATAGAGATATGCAGACATTTCAAATTATTTTTTTGCAGCCAAAGATATAAAAATGTTTATCTATCTATCTATCTATCTATCTATCTATCTATCTGTCTGTCTGTCTGTCTATCTGTCTATCTACACATACACTATCTATCTATCTATCTATCTATCTATCTGTCTACACATACACATCATTTTATACCCACATACACTTGTGCTTAGACAGATAATCATACTCCATAGCATGAGGGATATTATTTTAAGATTGCCACATTGTTTCTTGCACATGTTCACACTGTCCTATAAGATGCAGTTTTGGATACATATGAGGAGGAATATTGATATACAGTCACGGATGTACAGAAATGGTACTAGTACAACAATTCAGCCAAGGATGTTTTCACTCTTGAGGTAAATTGTGTAAGCATATCTACTTAACTGTAAAGTTATTTGATAGATATTTAATACATGCTCTTTAAAAGCAGTGTCTGAATCATATTGTACATAAAAAGTGCACATTTAGGACAAAAGAAGAAGACTTTTTTTTATAAGAACTGATTCATACTTAGAAACTATTGTGCATTGTTTCAATGTTTCTTTTTGGAGAGGAGAGAATCTGCAATACGTGTAATGTTTTGTGAACAGTTGAAAAACTTTTGTAAATAGTATCTTATTTTTGTAAGCTAACAAGCTGTCACCAGTATCCCATGTTATTTACTGTGCATTGTGCATGGCTACTGTGCTCAATGTAAAATCCACAAACTGTTTTCTAAGTTATAAAGAAGTTATTCTTTCTCATTGTAGGACCACAGAAACACCAAATATAAAGGCTGGTTTCCATGTTGTTGTACTGTTGTTTTCTTTCTTTTGTTTCTCCTGTATTTGTTGTTATAACATCTTCAGAGCAATTAAGCAGAAATTATTAATAATTTATGGTGTATGATGATGTATATCTGAGTGAAATGGCTTCTCAACTGGATTTTTGTCCAGCCCTCGTGTCATCAGAGAAGAGATGTCATTGTGAGGAGGGGTTACTATTAAAGGTTACAAGTACACTTGAATTTTACTAAATTACAAGTGCACAGATAAATCATTTATATTATTTATTTAATAAACACTGCAATATTCCATAAAAATAGGATTTTTTCATAATGTTGCTCTGACATTTTTTTTGAAAGACATAAAACCTGTGTTCTTTGGGGGGGGGGCAGAAACATTATTTGTTATATAACTTGTTATACTTCCTTATACAGCCAAATTGTAGCTAAATCTGACAACAAAAATGATGTCATAACATTATTACACTCTGAAGAGCAATAGCTAAAGATATTTTGAATCAACTACAAAACTTTATTCAGAAGCCCGTAACTACCATAGACATTGAGGAGGACAGGTTGCTCCCAATACTTAGAAATGGCCAAATATATTTATTTTGTTTTTGTACTGCGCTGCTGCACTCCAATACCCAGCCCTCTGTTTGTTGTTTGGATGACAAAAATATTTAAAAGTACATTTTTTATGCTGGTCTAACACCACTAGTCAATGCCAACATGATTGAGATGGCCGATCAAATCAAAGTAGGCGGGGCTTACTGTTCACAGAAGGAGAGCGCGCCAGCGCGAAGCCGGGTTTAGCGTTGAATTAGAATGAGGTAAATTGGAAGTAACACTATGTAAACATCAAAACAACTAATATTTGACAGCTGTTTAACGATAGAAAAGTTCAAACGATCGACAGTTATATCAAGCGATGCAAACTGCTGGACATTTTTCTAAAATATGGTCGTTTTGGTATCTTTTCCGTTATGAACAAAGTGACGAGACAAGAAACATTAGGCGTTTTGCGACATATTAGACATACAGATAAGAGTTGTGTAATATGAATGTGTTCATATTTTAAAAAATAATTTGCAAATAGTTCAAAATGAACTAGAATTAGACGTAGAATTCCATAATTGTGGAGAATACTCCACAAATGGTCCTCACTGCAGAACACAAGATCCAGGGGCAGGGGGCAAGGTTGGATCCAGATCCAACTCCTCCCACCTTACATATACCTAAACCTACCCATCTCAACCCCCTAGATGTGGATCCAACCCCGCCCCCTGGATCTTTGTTCTGCAGTGAGGGGCTACTGCACAAATCTAAAAATATTCATGCGTCCACAAATCCCTCATTAACAAATAGACACAAAAACTTTGATATATTCACCATAATACAATGCCACAGATAATTATTTTCCAGACACAAAGTTTGATCAAATTTTCTGTTCGTAAATTAAGTTAACATAGATGTAAACATTGTTCAATCGACGTAATTAACACGCTGAATTTAAAATGGGTGCAAATGTGTACATTTATTAGCAAGTGATGAAAACGGTTCAGTCTTTTGCAGTGTAATATTTACAGAAACACAGGTAAATGAGAAAATTAAGACTGGTTACAAAATACTGCCTTTCACTCAGGAACAAAAATGAGTCTTAGAATTAGTTTCAGCTTGATTTATCAAACACATGATAGGAAAAAGAAAGTGAAAGTCTTTGAAAACCTATATTTTGAGGCCAATGGGCAAGAAGCCATTTATTTTTACTGAGGCAAGGTAAGTATGATATCATGATGGCACTAGGCTGTTTATTTCAACCTAATACTACATGTGTCTATACAATAAATATACTCAACATCAACAACCAAGAAGATAATCAGCGCCAGAAACAATAAGCTGCACCAGAAGATGAGATGATGATGGTGTGAGGTCTTCAGTCGTTGTCATAGATGCAGTCTGTAAAAGTGTTAAGTGATTATTTATCTGTTTTAATAATAAGGTCTGCATTCTGCCAGTTTTAAATTACATCCCATCTAGTAGGAGAATTAATATTTTAAATTTTCACATAATGTTTAGGTTAATGAATTTGCTACGTACCATCTCCAATGTCATCATAGACCTCATCACTAAAAAAAAAAAAAGTAAAAAATTTCGTTTTGCATATATTCACACATTGACAAAACAATTTACAAAAAAAAAAACTTTCCGAGTTGCTTACTCTGTTTGGATGTTGCTGGCTGAGACATATCCAACTGAAAAGTAAATTTTACAATGTCATCATTACTAATGCTTGTCCTGGTGTAGGTCAAATCTCATGTAATATCACTTACATTTGCCCTCCTTGTTCCTACAGATGAATTTGTCAGGGTCAGATTTGCTGATGACATCCACAGTCTCCCCAGCTTGTACAGTCAGGTCTTTCCCACTTCCCTTCTTACTGGTGGCAATCGTTGCTTGATGAAGCACCTGAATCTCACCATCGTACTGGTAAAGTAAATGCCAAATTGTTTGCTTATAAATTCAATCAAGAAAGCACTCAGTGTTTACAGGTCACTCAGCATAATGCCATACTGTTATTTGATACGCACCTTAAACTTTTTTCTAAATTCCTTTTCTTTTTCCTCTAACCTTTTTTGCTTTTTTGGGTCCTCATGCACTTTGGTCACCTTAGATATCATTTGAGGAAGGCTGCGATAATGAAATATCATTATCATCAAGACAGGCTGATTTAAATGTGCTAATATACAGTAGAGTAGTACATTTTAAGAGTAAAAGTCTTTACATTGCATCATCCTGTTTTACATCATTAATGGTAAATCACTTAAGGTAAGTCCTGTTTACCTGCTAGGTGATGGAGCGGGAGGGAATGAATCAACATCATCATATATGTCTTGGGAAGCATCTGTGTTGTAAAGACATTTGAAGTGAAAAGAATTCAGTCGGTTTCATAGTTAATTGGAAGGCGTGGTATAGGAATAAAAATCATTTTTACCTTGATTACCTTCAGGTGTAAATTGTGGAGGGGGAGGAATGCTGAAACAGATTGTTAGAAGTATATCAATATTTGATAATTTTATGGGCAAAAGCCACTCAACTGATTTCATTTAAAATTGAATCATTTTCTGTAAGAAAAAAAAGCAAAATCAAGGGAGGTTGAAGTCTTGGGAAAAGGACACAGCAATATTAAATCATCCACATCTAGTAATGTTATAGTTAGAAACGATTAGAAAAGCATTAATAACAGGAGACTCAGAAGAATTTCCTTGAAGGAGCTATTTGGCATTTTCGCACAGATCGGATTGATTGTGAAATGAACCATTAATCAGTTTGCTTTGTTAGAACAAATGGTTGCAGTTGTAAATGCAATTGTGATTGGAAATCAAAAAGTAACATTGTCTGATTCCATCTTACTAATGTAAAAATTACTCGTTATTGTGGACTTGGCTTTTTCTCCAGTCAACCGAGCTTTTGAGCATGTCCAAGAAGTTGCGCGGTTTTAAGAGAGACCTGGGATCTCCAGTGCTATGGTTTCAGAGGAATGTAGTATGGGTGAGACAGATCCATAATACGAGTGGCCAAACAACAAATCCAGTAATACAGACACACACATACAGTATAATGCACACAGTTTGCAAACCTTATATATTATATTATATTATATTATATTATATTATATTATATTATTATATTCTCCAAACTCCAAAAACAATATATTATATTATATTATATTATATTATATTATATTATATTATATTATATTATTTGTTCTTACCTGATTGGATTAAGATTGGAATCGGGTATATCATCATACAAATCATCATCTGGTGGTGGAGGTAGAACAACTATAAACAGCAGAGGGCAGACTTGTTCAAGTATCACCTCTCAAAATGAGACTGTTTCTTTTACAGTTACTACTTAAAGTATTAAATAAACCTTACAGTCAATTAGTTGGAAAAAGGATTAGTTGTATTAAAACTTACCCCGCTGCCCATTCATATTCCTGAAATATGAAAGAGAAATATAAATTCTCTGTAACACTTTAGTATAGGGACCAATTCTGATTACTAGTTGCTTATTATCATGCCTATTATTAACATATTGGCTGTTTATTAGTGCTTATAAAGCACATATTCTGCATGGCCATATTCTACATCTCTAATCACATCAATACACTCTAAAAAATGCTAACTAACTACCTTAGTAATTATTAATAAGCAGCAAATTAGTAGTTTACTCAGGCAAAAGTCGTAGTTAATGGTTTGCTAGTACCGAGAATTGGAGCTTAAAATAAAGTGTGACCAAATTCTCATATAAATCCGAAAAGCAGTATTTGCTTCTGTGTAACTTCTAATTAAACTTTCTTGACTTTTTAGACTGGACAAGAGACTAGAAAAGTGCTTAAAGTGGCATCTAGATCAAATCTGCCTTTTCACATTATTAGTTATTAGTAAAAATCTTTGGAGTTCTGCAGAATCAATTTAAATGTGTTAAAAAATTTTTTTGGAAGTGTTACAGGCTCTTACAATTGTTCATCCATAGATTCTACGTCATCGTACACCTCTTCATTTTCCAAGCTATGAGGAAGAGACAGGCCTTTATTCTTCAAGACGCTGAAGTCGATCTCGACCATTTCCGTTTTAACATAGCCAACTGGAATATAGAGAAATGACAACTTCATCTTTTCTCAGAGGATCAGTGACCAGTTCGCATCAAATATATATATATATATATATATATATATATATTTTACAGTGTGAACTCTTACATGATCCATCTTGACTCCGGCCCAACCATTTGCCCTCTGGATTATCAGTGATTCGAATGATATCAATTGACTCGCCCTTCTTAATGGAAAGGTCATGTTTCCCACCCTTACAGTCAGCTTTAGCTTTTACCTGATGAATAACCTGCAGGGGGGTTGTTATCTGAGGAAAGAACAAACCAGGTAAACAATCCTTTATAATCACCATGAACCAGTAGAGTAAACCTCAATAACTAGTTGTTGTGTAATAAGTGCTAAATATACATATATTACTTACTTTAAACTTCTTAATTGCATCTTTCTCTTTTTTCTCCCGTTCTTTCTGATTTTTAAGTTCTTTTTCTTGCTTTTTCTGAGGTTGACCTGGCTCTGCAGCAGACCTGTGGCAAAGCGGACCATTAAACATTTATTAGCACAAAACACAAGTGAACACTGCAGAACATGAAATTAACCATTTGATTATTGGCAGCTAAAATTTTTGTATCACTCTGTTCCAGGTGGGTGAGGTGACCGCTATACCTCACCGACAGTGTCAGCAATAATAGAACTTAAAATGTCTTACCTACTATCATCAAGATCCTCATATATATCACCATCACTTCCACTTCCCTAAAAGAGGTGAGACATGAGACAGTGCACCACAAACTTTCTAAAAAAGTATTTGTATGCCTTCACTATGTTTCTTACCTCGTTTTTCTGGCCTATAATTATAAAATGTGAGAAAAAAGTATTTAAAATTAGTAAGAATTGGATTACATAAACTATTGAGCTTCTATCAATTTAAAATATGGAAATACAATTTGAGTTCAATTACTGAAATAAATGAACTTTTCCACGACATTCTAATTTATTGAAATGCACCTGTATATACTGTATTATATATATGAAAAGTTCATTTGCAAAAACAGATAACTCCATTTGTATTTATTTTCAGAAATCATGTTTTTTATTGTGCAGTCCAAGTAATATCAATCAAACTGCAGTTGGGTTGTTTTGATTAAGTAATAACTTAAACAAAAACAGGTAACTTACAAAATAAGTAAGCAGAAAAAATCAGTAGTTTATGAAAAAATCTTGGAAAAAGTTGCAGTTTTTTGACAGAAATATTAAGCAGTACAACTGTTTTTAGCATTGATAAAAATAAATCGGCAAATCAGAATGTTAGAATGATTTCTGAAGGATCATGTGACACTGAAGATTGGAGTAATGTCTGGGGAAAATTCAGCTTTGCATCACAGGAATAAATTAAATTTTTAGAATATTAAAAAAGAAAACAGTTCTTTTAAATATTTAAAGGGGTGGTTGATTGCGATTTAACTTTTTGAACGTTAGTTAGTGTGTAATGTTGCTGTTTGAGCATAAACAATGTTTGCAAAGTTACGACGCTGAAAGTTCAATGCAAATGGAGTCTTTTAAAATTATGGCAGTTTAATGCCTACAAAAACGGCTCATAGGGACTACAACGAGTGACGTCACAAACCCAGAAATGTACATAAACCCCACCCCCGGGAACATGCAACAAAGGGGGCGAGGCCATACTGCGCTTCTTTAGAGAAGAGGAAGAGATGTTGCCATGCCATCAAAACTAGGGGAGCACGAAAAAATCTGTTCATATATGAATCGCGATTCTGTTTTCTAATGATTCTAATGGATTCACAAGTTTCAAAATCAATGTTCTAAAGCAGCGGTTCTTAATCCTGTTCCTTGCGTCCCCCTGCTCTGCACACGCTCTGCTCTGCATCTCTCTCTCTCATTCAGATCATCAGCTCACCAGCTCAGCTCCAACAATGAACTGTTCCAATTATACACTTTATGTGTATAGACAGATAGATAGATATTTTTCACATAGCTATGAGAAGCGTTAAACATGGACGCGCATGCAGTTGCCATGCTGTATTAAAGCATTAATCAGGATAAAACCGTATATTAGAAGCTAACAGAAGCAGTAACAAATAACAGCATATCTAAAAGTATGAGACAACAACAAACAAAAAACATACCATTAAGAGCCGTGTGCTTGTACAGGTTCTGCGCGATCCTCTTCACTAATATCCTCTGCATCTCATTTGGGCTCAAATTGATAAGCAATATTGACGATGCCATTATTTACAATACAACACCGGGTATGGGGTGAGGTGAGGGGCATAACGATTAGACGCGCACTAGGTGGTTTAGCGAATCACAACAGACTGGGCCAGCTAACCAATCAGAGCCTATTGCCTATTTTTGAGGGAGGGGCTTCATAAAAACAGGAAATCATCAGCGCGTTTATAGGAGAAGGGACAGAGCGGTGTAGAATAAAGGTAAATTATGTGAAAAATAGTGCGTTTTTATCGCCTATTTCTGAGGGAGGGGCTTCATAAAAGAAGGAAATGATCAGCGCGTTTCTCAGAGAAGGGGCAGAGTGGTGTGGAATAAAGATAGATTATGTGAAAAATAATGCGTTTTTAAAAAACGAAGCATTAACACATGTTAGACTGCACCCCATAAACACAATCAAGCCTAGAAAAAGCACAGTCAACCACCCCTTTAAATTTTCACTGTATTTTTAAATGCAGTGTTGCGAGTATGGTTGTGTTAGTGAATATATAGGTCTTACCCATTCTAAAGCTATCCACATCATCATAATGTTCATCTTGAATTCTGCAGACAGATATAAGGATGTGAATTACCACCAAATTCAGATGTTAAAGAAATTGTCATAACCTGAATCATTCAGTCACAGTGCTAAGTGAGGCATTTCTGTGGTACTCACATAGGTCCTGGATGTCGTGGGGGCAGGTTGGGACATAAGGGTTGAGAGGGCAGGGGTGGAGGCGGCTGACTACTGGGGTGAGAGGCGGGTGGGGGAGGGGGAGTTACATTCTTTGGTCCTGGACCTGCAAGAAAATAGTTAACCTCATGACCAGTTCACCCAAAATGTCAATTCTGTCATCATTTACTCACCATCATGTCATACATTTTCATACCTGTATGACTTTCTTAGCCTTTCAGAACTCAAAAGAACCCTACTGACTTACAATGTATGGACAAAAACACTCTTTGAAATTCATACTTTGGTGTTCCACAGAAGAAAGAAAGTCATGCAGGTTTGAATTTTTATTTTTGGGTGAACGGAAGTTTCACACGGTGCTAAGGGCAAAACCTGGTCCTATACAGGATCTCACCATTATCACAAGTTAAAAATGAAAGCTATCTCTAAAACTATGTTCCTATTTTAAATTAGCTTCCCCGTTTTTTCACTGACTTCAGCTCTCAAGTGAAAAGAGAAACTCAAATGAGGAAGTTAGCTCAGCACATGCAGGAAATCTTGAATTTCCAATATTTTGTTATTGCTGTTCGATACCACATGCATCTAAATGTTCGTTTCATGATGGTGCGCTCTGATGCCGATTAACATGCTGTGATAATATATTGTGTGTTAACAATAAACACAATATATTAAAAAACTAAAGATCAAAGACAAGTATGTTGCACGGTGTCAAAGTGCATAAATGATACAGTCATGTGATGTTCCTCATTTGCACTTAAATTACTGACTAAGATATGCATCTGCTCACAGTTTCTCGTCTTTATGGCTTTATGGTGCTTATTATATTGTGCAGGCTTGCTAACGGTCTCAGAGGAAAGCAGAGCAGTCACAAGCAAAACCACGGAAACCACTTTGACCCAAAGTCTACTCTACTGTGCTTGTGTATGAGCAGTGGCTGTTTTGCGTACAAAGTCTTTGTGGCTTTGATGTGACTGATGAAGTGCTTACTGCTTATTGTTTTGTTACCTCAGATGCTGCCATACAGAAAGCTTGCGCATTTTGTGCTAGACAGGCAGTACTCACTCTCTGTTGTAGCCTCTGAGCCCTTCTTGAACTTCTCAAGGTTGACTTTGGGTGGTCTGTTGGGTTTGGCAGGAGCGCTGCCCAAAGCATAGGTATTGGGTAAAGGTTTCTTCTTGGGCGCCGAAGGATCATCGTTGGCTGTCTGTATAGGAGGTCCAGATGATTTTCTTGTGATGATGGGTTTATTAGGCGCTACAGGCTTTGAGACTGACTCATTAGCACTTGGTACTTTAGCACCTTCTTTAACGCCTTCCTCTTGTTTGATGAAGCTGTTTTTAACACGGAAACTTGATGGTTTCACATGAGATACTATGGAAGGTTTTGCAACAGACTCCACGTTGCTGCTTTCCTCCGGCTGCTGGCGTAGCAAAGCCATGGTGCTTTTCGGTTTGGGTGCTGATGGCATTTTCGGAGGAGTGGGATTAGGGCTAGTGCTGTTGTCTTCAGCTTTCGGGGCATCTTTGACCCAGGGTGGTTTTGCCATAGGGGCCATTGGCTTTGGACTTGTTACCTTTGAATCATTCGCCATGATGCTTGAAGGAGGCTTCTGTAGTGGCACCTTTGGGAATGGGACCTTTGGAGTCTCAGAGTACTGGGACGAGTCTGGTGGTTTGGGTTTAACAGGAACTTTAAAGTTGACTTTGTTGTTCTCTTGTGTGTTTTCAAACCTAGTCCCAAAAGCTTTTAACTTCGGAGGTTCGTGCATGTCTGGAGCGCTTCTAGCTGTGTTGACTGTGCTCTTAGGTTTAGGGGCAATTGAGGTAGTAGTTACTCCACTGGATAAGCTACTTTCAAGAACAGGCTTCTTAGTAGCCACCGCTGGGCCTGAAGACAAGGTGGGCTGGACAGGTGGTTTTGGACGAACACCTGGAGTCCCTTCCGTAGATACACTTCCTGCTTGGAAACGAGCCATGATAGCTTTTACGTCGGACTTGTTGTCCTGCAAGTAAAGATTGAAAGTCAAATTTTGAGGAACCAAGACAAACCTCGGTAGAGTGTATACATCCGCATTTGTGTTCTCGTCATTCTGGTTTAGCTTTTACCTGTTTGTGATTACTATTATACATCATAGGTTTTGTTACATTTAAATGTATGTATTTTATGACACTTTTATCCAAAGCGATTTACATTAAATTCAGCATTTTTTCAGTTCACTCCCTTGGATTCAAAAATCATGAACTTGGCACCATAAAAAGTGTTGTTTTGAGAGCAAAAAATGACAAAGAAAGCAGATGAAAGTGCACCACCATGAGCACTACGAGCCGACGCTCTAACAAATATGATATTTGGTCACGCAGTTTTCATGGTTTGACCAAAACTAGTCTTCACTGCATTACCAATGTGTGGCTCAATTGCAATTGCATAGTTCAGTTGGGAAACAATGTTTCGTAAAACTCTTTCAGAGGTTTCCTTCCTATAGGCCTCTACAATTCATAACCAGGATAGACTACAATGAAGGGTTTCGGTTAATTCGTTAATTTGGTGTGGAGCGTCAACATTTCTTAATTTCTTCTTCAAGCCTTTAAAAGTCAATAAAAACATATATCATAACATATCTTGCTCACATTGTTCATTGATAAGCATGCCTAAGATTGGTTGGCAATTTAAAGCAAATACAATATAATCTGTCCACTTTAAAAAATATTGAAAAATATATATTTATATACAATATGAATAATACTAGGAGTAATATTAGGAAATACTACAAACTTGACATCAAAGCAGTGTAAAATACTAAATCTCAAGCTTACATACTTCCAATGTCTGTCTTATTGAATGTGTGTTCAATTTAGATTTTTGAATTAGGGTTAAGCGTATGTCAGGTGCATTTCTTTTGATTTATTGAACTGTCAATTGATTCTCTACAAAGATTTATCAGACTTATGCTCATTACTTTGAATAAGCCAGCTGAGCTGTCTGTCTAATAAATCGAGTAAAACATGTAAATAAAACAGAGATATTTGACATGTAAGTCACATTGCAAGTTAAAGATATCTATAAAATATCTTTTACCTCTGATTCTGGGTCTTCAGTACAACTTAGCATACTTGATTTCTCCATCAGAGCTGTTTGTAGTCAACTGCACTGAACATGAGAACTGTCTGTGATCACACAGGAACTGAGAGCATTTATCATACCAAATTAGCAGGAAGTCGCTACGCTCACTATATAGTACTCATATACAAAAGAATAAATAGATGAAAAGAAAATACTTTTTTTTTCTAACAGTATATATATAATTTGTGATAGATGTGTAGGCCACAGTGAAATACAGGATACAGCAAATGAAATGTTATTTTATAACCATAAAATAACTTTAGTTTTAAAGCCCGTTTGTCAACTGGTCGTCATTCAAATTTAACGCAATTGGATGCAAATCTCTTTCTGGAAAAAAAAAAACGTCATTTATGTGTCTGCAATATGTTCCTGATGTGTAACCTAGCTATTTTTTTTCCGGATATCTCAAAGCTACATGTCTTTGTTCTGACAGAAACACAATCCTCTGGACCAGTGTGAACATGTCTAGCGATACCAAGCCATAAATGAGAGACTCTGGGTGACGTGTGTGACGCACCCTTGGTAACGAGTGTTTGAATCAGGACAGACCTCTCACCAGGAAGAGCTGATAAGCTCTGGACTAGCTTCTAATGTGACTGGCCTGACCCAGAGGTACACACTGTGCTGTTGACTCACTGAGCAAAAAAAGAGAAACTGTTAGACACAGGAACTAACATTGGTCAACCAATTACAATATCACTATGCTCTTGACACGCAACAGCACTGTAGACTTTTCTCACAAGTAAATTTCAGTTGTTTTAAACCACATACATCACTTCTGTATATGGATATACAGTAAAGGCAACACTTTTTTTTTCAAATGTATGATGGCATATATATTCTATATTTGCATTGCTGTAAAAAAATATCCTGTTCAATTTTGCAGTAAAAACAGCAGCTGTGGTTGCCAGAAACTTATGTATAGATGATGCACAGGGTCATACACTAAAGACAAAACACCATGGTAACTCACATGACATTAATTTAATGCAATAAACAAAACTGAAATAACTAAAATAAACTAAATCAATAAACTAAATAACTGATATAACAAAAAACTTCCCAGTGTACATTACTGATTGAAACAAAATTATTTAAAGAAAAATCAACTTACAATTAATCAAGTTAAGGTTTTTACTGTAGCATTTTTACAGTCTTTCTCTGTAAAAAATACCAACATATTTACAGTGACTTGCATCTTGTTGTTATAGAAGTTGCATCTTGTTTAAGTTTGTTAGGTTTTAAATGGTAAGACAATAGACTGTTCAAAATGAAGACAAAAAGTATAGGTGTGGTGACATTAGACTTTGCTCCATGCACATGCATGAGAAAATGGGACAGTGGAAAGTTGATATTTTGTGAACTCTGATCGGAAAATCATATGGTAACAGTTTGATATCTTAGCTCAACACAAAGAATTCAAACTTGAAAGCTCGGGATTTGTAGTTTTGTGAGAAAATTGAGTCATCATTTATTTTATTTTTTATTATTGATTATGATGTTATTTAGTTTAGAATTTCACTATTCTGTTTATCCTGTTGCCCATATTCACTGTTGTCACGATCTCTCTGGGAGGAACGAGGAGACGCAGGAGAATACTTCAACATAGATTTTTAATCAAACAAGCAAGGGGTAAATACTGGAACTCAAGGATGACATATAACAGCGGACTCAGACTCAGGGAAACACAGGGTTTAAATGCAAGGGGAAAACAAGATAATTAATCAGACACAGCTGGATACAGATTAACACAATGAGGACAGGAACAGGAAACATGACATGAAACTAAATGGGAACATACACGTGACATTACTCCCCCCTCCCGGAAGGCGCGTCCCACGCCATAACAATACCACCGGGGAGTGGGGGTGGGCGCCCTGGAGGCTGGATCAGGGAGCTCCGGGAGCCATGGCGGAGCAAGCAGTTCAGGTTGCCATGGTAGAGCAGGGGACTCAGGAGGCCATGGCGGAGCAGGCAGTTCAGGTTGCCATGGCGGAGCTGGTAGCTCAGGAGGCCATGGCGGATCAGGGGACTCAGGAGGCCATGGCGGAGCAGGCAGTTCAGGTTGCCATGGCGGATCAGGGGACTCAGGAGGCCATGGCGGAGCAGGCAGTTCAAGTTGCCATGGCGAAGCAGGGGACTCAGGATGCCATGGCGGAGCAGGCAGTTCAGGTTGCCATGGTGGATCAGGGGACTCAGGAGGCCATGGCGGATCCTCCGTGACCTTAGCCGGCTCGGCCACCACGGCCGCGGGCATATGTCCCCCAAATTTTCTTGGGGAAAACTAGGTATCCTGGGGGTCGCTCAGGACGAGCGGGCTCAGGCGGGCGCTCAGGACGAGTGGGAACTTGAGGACGCTCTGGAGGAGCGGGCACTGGGCCTGGAGCCGACACTAGAGCAAGCTCTGGGGCTGGAGCCGACACTGGAGCGAGCTGGGAATCAGGAGCCCTCCCCAGACTTAACGGGGAATCAGGAGCCCTCCCCGGGCTGAACGGGGAAATGGGAGCCCTCCGTGGCCTTAACTCGGGAACTGGAGCCCTTCCTGGGCTATACTCGGGAACAGGGGCCCTTCCTGGGCTGAACGGGGAAACAGGGGCCCTCCCTGGGCTATACTCGGGAACAGGGGC